ACCTGGGGCTAAATGCACGGGTCATTTGAGACTCATAAATTAATTCTTGTACCAGTGAATTGTACATGCTTACTGTCAACGGATAGACATCTTAAGGTCTCAAATGCATCATGCATTTGACATTGTTCTTTGTGATCAAATTTATGACCCAAGAATTCACAATCAATGATGACAGCCTCCCTGGAGACTATGGGTTTGACCCACTGGGACTATCAGACCCTGAAGGACAAGGAGGTTTCATGGAGCCAAAATGGCTCGCATATGGAGAGATCATCAATGGCCGGTACGCCATGTTAGGGGCAGCAGGGGCTATAGCACCAGAGATTCTCGGGAAGGCTGGCCTCATTCCAGCTGAAACTGCCCTCCCCTGGTTCCAAACTGGAGTCATCCCACCTGCAGGAACATACAACTATTGGGCTGACCCTTACACACTGTTTGTGTTTGAGATGGCTCTGATGGGGTTTGCTGAGCACAGGAGGTTGCAGGACTGGAATAACCCGGGTTCGATGGGAAAACAGTACTTCTTGGGGTTAGAGAAAGGGCTAGGTGGGTCAGGTGACCCAGCCTACCCTGGTGGTCCCATCTTCAACCCGCTCGGCTTCGGGGAAGATGCAAAGTCAATGAAGGACTTGAAGGTTAAGGAAATCAAGAATGGAAGGCTGGCTATGTTGGCTGTTTTGGGCTACTTCGTCCAAGCTTTGGTGACCAGAGTTGGACCTTACCAGAACCTTTTAGATCATTTGGCTGATCCTGTAAACAATAACATCTTTACCAACCTCAAACTGCACTAAAACTTCTCTATGTACACATACTATCTGTAATCAGTAAAATATCTGTTATCAGCGGATGTATTACTTTGAACACCTTTATTTCATTCACACTTAAAGTTGATGCTTTCAATTCTGAAGTATACTGGTTTTGTTTGGCAGCGTTATTTTTCTTTTTTGTCAAACAAGCTGATAAGTCAGGTGATAATTGATAATAGGGGTAACAAAAAGATTTATTTGTATACGATACATTCTACTTAATCATATCCAGCAGCATATTACTACGTACAATATACCAGACGAGAGTATCATCCCAGACTTTCAACATACCAGTATAATACTACTGTCTACTGCATTTAACACCAGACGAGACTACAAGAGTATTGATTCAAACCTACCTAGATCATATTATACGAAAATAAGTGTAAGAGAACATGTCCAGGTTATAATAAGATGATGGATGACATTGAATCCATATATTTTTGTTAAGCTCCTTCAAAGTGGCGACGAAAAAAAAAGTACATACTAACATCATATAGACCTAAACTTACTCCTATTATGTTAATCTTGTTAGATGAAATCACAATCCTTAATATAGATTACAGCCAATAAAGATCAAACGAGCAATCAAACGAGCACACAAATAATGAAATATTGCAGAACAGACAAATTAAGCTATCTTGCCCATATAAAAATACAAGATAACCTAAAAGTCTTGGCCACTCCACAATCTTGTTTTACGATGAACTATTGCCTACCCTTAATCTCATAGCCACCACACCAGTTAAAATCTATATGCCAACCATGACTAGCTACTATGTTCTTATTAAGCTTCTTCATTATGATTGGACTAAACATTCTCATTGAAAGTCAAAGGCATTATTAAAGTTCAAAGTGAATATAACAAGTCAAATACAATCAAGCTGAGTAAAGAAGTTATATCCAGTCCAATTAAAAATGGCCATAACAAATCAAATACATTCAAAGTGATTATTACAAGTCAAATACACCCAAACTGACTACTTAAAGTCAAATACATCAAAAGTAACTATTAAAAGTTAAATACAGACAAACTGACTATTATTAGTCAAACAAAGTCAAAGTTAGTAATCAAACTCAAATGACAATTGATTTACTTTACCATTTTATAACATACTTCATCTTTTAGTTATTTCCTTCACCATTCCACTCATTAAAGTAGGCTTGCTAAACAAGTTGAAAGGATACTTACGCCAGCCTCTTCAAGCCGGGGGTCTGCCTTATCTAGCTGTATTAATGTATTTTCTGGTTTTTCTTCACATTTTAACTTTGTACACCTCCATAATAGTTTACTTAGAACCGTTTCTCTATGTTTCTTGCTCCACTTGGCATAGATATGCCTTGAAATGTTTAGATGTTCACACTCAGTGAAGACATGTGCAATGACATTTGACAATCCCCGCATAGATAGACATGAAAGGTTAATGATTTATCAACAATTTAAAAGTTTAAATGATGTCACTTCAAGTAATATGTGACATACCTTCTATTGATCACTGATAACAACCCACAAACCTCTCATGTTCAAGACTAAGACACATTGCTCTTCATTTTAATAACAACTCATGTTATTGGATAAAGATGATTGTTCCCGCCGCTACCCACAACAGTTAGTATCTCAAACACAACTGGTCTATTAAGAAATAACTATCTAAACATATGAGCTTCCTACAACCATCTAGAAAACCCCTTTTGACTCGAGCAAAGTACATATAAATCCATTGGAAGATTGCAGGAGCTTCAAAGGCAGTTCACGCTATTTCAATAACCACAATACTCTCTTGAATACATATAAGACATTCCTCAACGTCTATGTAATCTCAATCTATTTCAACACTATCAATTTTGAGCACCTATGTACATATTCTGAGTACTAACAAAGTTCACTTCATGGTGAATAATTAGTTTTGGACTTGCAACCATCTTGATAATTGTTAGTTTGAAAGTATTAAACCACCAAACATGCTTTAAGTAAACAATCACATGTTAACTACTCACAACAATAGGAGGCACAAATTGAGTGAAAACTGACATGGGAGTGGGGTTGTTGTGAAGTTTATGGTAATTGTGCTCCTCCTCTACTGCACTATTGCTACTCCACTACTAAGGGCACGCCCCTACCATCGACAACATCTCTCGATTCATATTCTACGTTTACAATTTTGAACGTTAGGTTTACCACCATTTAGGATTTCAATCCAGCTTGCCACATTATAACCACATATCATAAAAGATTTTCCAAAAGTAGAAAAAGTTACACCACTTGGGTGAACACATTCAGCCACTAACGGGACAATCGGTATGTGAGAGCATGTTCAGCGGTTGGCTAATTGCTCTCATAGCTTAACTAGCCACGTAAGCTTTTGTAGCAAAATTGAAATATACTCCAATGGTTAGCTATAACTTTTTCATCTTCATTTATTATTTATAATGCTATATTTAATATTCTACTTACTCAAGCTAGTAGCTCATTTAGGCTAATTAGCTTTCTCAAGCAAAAGGAAGAACAATGCTCCAACGGTTAGTTAGTAGCTTCAAAATTGCAAGCAAGTCCCTAGAAGCAACCATTGGAGATGCTCTGAATGGCTAAAAAGCGGTAGTGGATATTTTTATAGCTTGGGTTGATTGGGTAATTCGATAGTACAAGGACTTGAATCTCAATTAACATTTTTTAAGAGAGTGCAAAGGTCTTTATTAGTTTTCACATGATTAAAAGTAGTCATATCATCGTTACACCACATATATGTATCTCCCTAGTATAGAGAACAATTCATATACATATGGATGTATAGGAATCTCCATACGGACAAAGTCATCAGAGGCCCTTTCCGGTGGAATTTTTTGATGAAGTTTTTTTAGCATGTTCTTCATCAAGTATGATTTATATCTACCAAATTTCAGCTTAAAACTCCATCGAGAAGGCAGTCAAACATATTATTGAGAAAAACTATGCCAAAGTATACATATAAAAGTGTAGGTTTATTCAATAATTTATTTAACTGCCATCCTGATAGAATTTTGAGCTTAAATTTGATATGCATAAACTAGACTTGATTCAGAATATGCTCAAAAAAAATTATCAAAAAATTCCACCGGGAAGAACCTCTGATGGCTTTGTCTGTACGGAGGTTCTTGTACATCCATATGTATAGGAACGGGACTCCCTTAGTATATTCACACCCTTTAACATTTCCATAAAAATGTAGCACATATGTTTTAATATCCAAGTAGGAAGTCTTTATATTACGTTGAGTCTCTATTCATAAACTAGCTCTTTGTTAGATCCACCTTTTCTCTTCGAAAACTATCTCTCTCTAGCTATTCCCTATGTAGTTGCATCTCGAACAACGCACACCTGCTTTTCGATCCCTTTGTTAAACACTTACACCCGATGATCAATGATGACTAAAGTGATGTGTAGCGACATCAAGTGCAATGAACGGTGGCGGGCAAGGTGATGAACAACGACGGTGAAGATGAAGGGTTTATTATCTAAATCTCTCAAATGCTTTAATACCTAAATAAGCACTCATGTTATACTCCGTATTTGATTTTTACTCGTCAACAACTTTTCATTAGATTTGATCTTTTTCCTATCATCCATTTTTTCCTAACAATTTTCAATATAGAGTACGCCTCTGATGATTTGAATCTGCTCAAGGGGCGAGGATGATTGAGGTGACATGGGGAAACATCAAGTGCGGTGAACGATGGCGGCCAAGGCGATGAACATCGACGACACAAATGAAAGGGTTATTACCTAAATCTATCAAATGCTTAATACCTAAATAGGAAACACTTACGTTATATCTGAATTTTACTCGTAAACAGCTTTTCACTAGATTCAATCTTTTACTAGGAAACACTTACGTTCCATCTTTCTCTAACAATTTTCAATGAAGCGTACAACTCTGATGATTCGAATATGCTCGAGGGGCAAGGATGACTGAGGTGACATGTGGAAACATCAAGCGCGATGAGCGGTGGCGGATGAAAAAAGATGAAGGTGAAGGTTTGCGATGATTATAATGAAATTTACACCTATTACTCTTATTTAATCTAATATTTGATCCCATTTAAATTAGTATGTCCACATTTTTATCCTATTTGATTATCTAAAGTGAGGACTCCATTTTTATCCTATTTGATTATCTCCTTAATTTCCCCTTATTGTCATAAATAAATACTCATAAAATAAATTATGACTCGTATATATGCTAAATGAAAGCCATTACTCCCGGCCACGTGAACGCAAAGCTGCCGGGCTTCCGTTGTATCTTTCACCGCTAAACCGAAATATCGGGCAAACCCGCGACCTCTCTGTTTACTTCTCCTCTCTCTCTAGAGCACGCATCTTCCTCATCGCAATTGCCAAGCCCTATCCGCCCCGATCTCGCCGCTAATTCAGTCTTTTTAATTCCAGATCCATTTCCGGTAAGCAAATTCGTCGATCGTACGGCCAGTACTCTAATTCGTAGACCCGCTCGATTATACATTTCATCAGTAGGTTTACTGAGTAATTGCGTGTTGCTATGCGTTTCTGGTACCTCTGAGTAATGTGTAGATTATCCTTCACGTATATACTTTAGTGGAATATTTGTTCTTCAAAGCATAAACTGTGTGTAGATTTGTGGCTATGTAAAAACGTTTTGTCTTAAGTTTTTTGTTATGAGAAACTGCATTTCTCGACCTTCGTACACTTTTTTCTTCATTTTCTTTTAGATTTGATTCCGATTATACATTTGCATGGGCCTCTCGTCATCAGATATTCCTATTGTGTTTTGGTTGCAGCTACATGTTGTTATGCTTGAGGTTTCTAGCTGTTGGGTGATGTTGATTAGCTTCTCTTTTATTGAAATCTTGACTGATGTTTGACACTCTCACTGACAAATATGTCCAGTGTATTTACAATGTGCTTAGCTGCGAAATGATTTTTTTAAGGCCTAATGGTCACAGTGAAACATTTACTAGAAATGTTGTGGTTTTTCCATGTCATATTTGCATGAATTTGCGATAGGAGTATAGGACATATTCAATTCAGGTGGAAATGTGCAGGGAAAAAGGGGAAGGTGGTTACACTGACAGTGATTATTCGGTCACTGGATTTATTTACTTTTTTATTTGCACAATTTTTTCCCTTCAGATCTAGCATATATGGATTATATATTGAATCATACTATTGTCTAGTGCTTCTGATTCTGGATTCCGTAGATTTGATGGTCTGTGCTCTGCCATTTGTCGCTTAGATCTATCAGGGGGTCAAGAGTCTGTCTCCTTCTCATAGCAATGGCATCATCATTAAACTTGCGGAGGATATACTGGGCTGCTTTATCATATTTCATTCTCATTTCACATGCATGCTATGGGTTTTATTTGCCTGGAACCTACATGCATACATATTCACCTGGTGATGAAATCTTTGTCAAAGTGAACTCATTGACCTCAATTGAGACTGAGCTTCCATTCAGCTACTATGATCTTCCTTATTGCACACCTCCGAATGGGATTAAAAAAAGTGCTGAGAACCTTGGGGAGTTGCTGATGGGAGATCTAATTGAAAACTCTCCCTACCGTTTCCGGATGAACGTTAATGAGTCACTTTACCTCTGCACTACACCGCCACTAAATGACCACCAGGTAAAGCTTTTGAAACAAAGGACTCATGACTTATACCAGGTCAACATGATTCTTGATAACTTGCCTGCTCTGAGATATGCTACCCAAAACGGGATGAAGATTCAGTGGACAGGATTTCCAGTTGGATTCACATCACAAAATACTAAGCAAGAGTACATCATCAACCACCTCAAGTTTAAGGTTTTGATTCATGAGTATGAGGGGGCTGGTGTTGAAATAATTGGCACTGGAGAAGAAGGTATGGGTGTTATAACAAAGTCAGATAAGAAGGCATCTGGTTATGAAATTGTTGGTTTTGAAGTAACCCCTTGTAGTGTGAAGTATGATCCTGTCAAAATGGAAAAGCTCCATATGTATGACAGTGTTTCTTCTATAAGCTGTCCATTGGATCTTGACAAATCTCAGATCATCAGGGAGCAGGAGAGGGTATCATTCACTTATGAGGTTGAGTTTGTGAAAAGCGACATCAGATGGCCATCTCGATGGGATGCTTATCTGAAGATGGAAGGTTCTCGGGTCCACTGGTTCTCAATTCTCAATTCGGTAATGGTGATCGTCTTCTTAGCCGGCATTGTTTTTGTAATATTTTTGAGAACAGTCAGGAGGGATCTAACAAGGTATGAAGAATTGGACAAAGAAGCTCAGGCACAGATGAACGAGGAACTTTCTGGCTGGAAGCTTGTGGTTGGAGATGTCTTCAGAGAGCCAAACCATTCAAAGCTGCTCTGTGTTATGATTGGAGATGGGGTTCAGATTACCGGGATGGGAGCAGTAACAATTGTTTTCGCTGCCCTTGGTTTCATGTCCCCAGCATCTCGGGGCATGCTGCTGACTGGGATGATTCTGCTTTATCTGTTCTTGGGAATTGCAGCCGGTTATGTTAGTGTCAGACTGTGGAGAACAATCAAGGGGAGTTCAGAAGGGTGGAGATCAGTTTCTTGGTCAACCGCATGCTTCTTTCCAGGGATTACTTTTGTTATCCTGACTGTTTTAAATTTCATTCTTTGGGGAAGCAAGAGCACCGGTGCGATTCCCATTTCGTTGTATTTTGAACTCTTAGCCCTATGGTTTTGCATATCTGTACCTCTAACTCTATTGGGAGGGTACCTTGGGACAAGAGCTGAGCCTATCCAGTTCCCTGTACGGACCAACCAGATTCCCAGAGAGATCCCATCTCGCAAATATCCATCATGGCTTCTTGTTCTTGGTGCTGGAACTCTTCCTTTTGGTACCCTTTTCATTGAGCTTTTCTTTATCCTCTCGAGCATCTGGTTTGGGCGGTTCTATTATGTCTTCGGGTTTCTGCTCATCGTCCTCCTCTTGTTGGTGGTAGTCTGCGCAGAAGTCTCTGTTGTCCTTACTTACATGCATCTTTGTGTTGAGGACTGGATGTGGTGGTGGAAAGCATTCTATGCATCCGGTTCAGTTGCTTTGTATGTGTTCTTGTACTCTGTCAATTACCTTGTGTTTGACTTGCAAAGTCTGAGTGGGCCCATCTCTGCTACGCTCTATCTTGGCTACTCTCTGTTGATGGCAATTGCAATCATGCTCGCTACTGGCTCTATCGGTTTTGTGACATCATTCTACTTCGTCCATTACCTTTTCTCTTCAGTGAAGATTGACTGAGTAGCTAGATAAATGAGTTAAAGAGATCTTTTCCTGGAATCGTTTACCTGCAAATGCTCTGAAGCAAGATATTCTCAGGTTACTATGTAGTTTTTCCTTTATGTTTTTGCAGCTATAGATTTGTATCAAATATGTGCTTTAATCGTAGTTCTTTCTTCTTGGCGGTCTAATACTTTTTTTTAAAGATAACTTTTTTGCGTTCTGATTTCTCTGTTTCTTCTGCTGCGTAGAACAAACATGGTGTTCATAAAGTGTCGTATTCTGGTGTTCAGCTATCTGTTAATTTTGTTTAGAATTTATATTTACCGTGGATAATACAATTAGCTGATGAAAACGTTTACCATGAGTCAATATAGTATTAAATTTTGTTTAGTTGATGGGTATAAAGTATAAACAGCAGCTTCGTACTGAAGTTGAATTGGGATGTCTTCGATCACATAAAAGTTTTCACAAAGAAATACTCCGCATGTTGGCCAAAATTGGCAAGAAGATGAAGGTAAACACACTGAAATAACTTTCACACATTTCTCTTGTTTCTCTGCGAGTCTGCGGATGAAGTGAAATTTTATACTTTCAATAAGATCAAATAAATTTGTTTTTGAAATATTCTTCTAAACTTATTAAACTTATTATAGTACCTGGTGATGGTAATGCCAATATTCTTGATTGAGATAAAACTTGAACCTGCGAGTAGGGATGGACTCGGGCCGGGCCAACCGGCCCGGAACCGGACCGGCCCGCTACTGTGCGGGCCCGGACCGGCCCGGTCAACCGGTTCGGTTCCGGTTCGGGCCTCCAGGCCCGGTGGTATACCGGTCCGGGCCCGGGCCTCCAGTTTAGTGAACCGGCCCGGCCGGGCCGGGCCCGGTTCGGGCCGAAATTTAATTTTTTTTTTTTTTTTTTGAAATTTTTTTAAGTTTTGGGTTGGATTAGGTATTTTGGGCCATTTGAGGTGGTTTGGGGTGGTTTGGGGTGGGGGGGGGAGGGGTAGGGGGTTAAATAAGAGAAGAAGAAGAAAAAAAAAAAAAAACATTCCGGGTGGCCCGGCCCGGCCCGGCCCGGTTCTGGCCCGGAACCGGAACCGCCCACCACCGGTTCGGGCCCGGGCCTCCTTTTTCTGAACCGAGGCCCGGCCGGGCCCAGGCCCGAACCGGGCCCGAACCGGAACCGGAACCGGAACCGGGCCCGAACCCGAACCGGGCGCAGGCTGCGACTTCCTCATTGGGAAATTAGTAGTGCCCCAATAGGATACTTGACATCAAATAAGTTATATTTTAAGAATAAAACATGAGCTATCCTATTTATACATTTGTCTATATTTTACTGCCAGGTACTTGAAATAAAAAACAATTTTTAATCATTGCAAGTAATACTTTGTTTCAATAGTTCCTCACATGTAACCCCCTGTATAGTGTATACTACACACACATGATGCAGTGCCAAAGTATTGTGGTAGCATTTCGTGATTCTCGTGAATAAAAAGGTATTGATGTATTCAAGAAGTATTTCTACAATTGAGGATACCAAATTACCAATAGGTTGACGTTTACGTTATTCGGAGGAATTTGGATACACAAAGTTTAGATATCATAAAAATATAGGCTGTGAGTGCACCTATATTTAAAATAGGTTTAATACCTCACAAACTTAGCAATCTCTATTTTACAACTAAGCTTGCATAACACCATTAAAAAAACTAAGCTTACATGACTAAAGTCTTCTGTCTTTATTTTAAGAGTCATCCAAGCACCTATTTTATGTGTATAGAGCCATGGAGTTCTAAACTAATTATGTAAATAACTAGTTAAAAAAACCAGTTTCCCTTGCTTTCAACTTCAACAGTAACCTCCAAACACCTAAAAGTTCAAACTAGATTCGCGCAAACAACACTACTTTTCTTTCAATTGTAGGGTACCCGCAGTTATAGAGGAACTAAAAGGTGTGCTTCAACGGCTAAAAATATATTTAAATCTTCAAAACTTATACTCCCTAAGAACTTATATTTGTTAATATAGGGTATTTACAAATAAAAGTTTAAATTCTTCTTTTGGATATGTGTAATTCTTTACAAAAGTAATTTTTGATAGTTTCATTAATGAGAGCAGTTTTGTTTAATACGCTATATTTTTTAAAAGTTGTGAGTATATTGATCAGTAAATATGTGGAGCATGCCAACGTGCTCACTATGGAGCATGTTGACATGATTAATGATCAGGATACACTCATAGTGAACACGTTGCTTCATAGTGAATACGTTGGCGGGCTCCATATATATATTTCGAGCGGTCTCTTTGTAAAGGCTAGTTTGAATAATACACATATTTTCTTCATTCACTCCGCATTTAAAATACTCCCGTATTAAATAACCTTTATGGTTTTCATTTGGAGATTTGCGGAATTTGACTAGTACCTCTAATCTATACCCAATATGTGAACATTATCATTTGGAAAGAATCTAAAATTTCTCACAATATGGGAATGTACAAGTATCTTTATTAAAATGTAGGTGTCTAGTTGTTTCAGTATCAATATATCAATAATTTTAATGGGCATGTAACATGGTCACTAATAAGCATGTCTGTTCGCGTGGAAATAAATGATTGGTTCTAACTTCTCCACATTAACTATTCTGGTATATGATTATTTATTTATATTAATTTAATGTACTTATTTAATACATATACTTAATATGTTAATTTTATCACTCTGTGTGCTCATTAATGAGCACGTTATTTACTCATTAGAATTAGGGGAAAATAACTTAATTAAATACCTCAAATTTTGAAGGCGCGTGAGGAAGCACCCCACAATTGCGTATGTAATATATATACCCTGAACATTACATAAAAAGTTATGTTAGCACTATAACTATTTTTTTTACCAAATGTAAATTTCATGGTACTAACATTACTTTTTATATAAAGTTCGGAGTATATATTACATATGCAAGTTTGGGTTGCTCACCTGATCACACCCTTCAAAGTTTGGATTATTTAAAACCATTGCCATAAAGGAATAACTGAAATTGACCTTAACCTCTTGACATATTATATATATCCACGAGTATAAACTGTTAGTACCCAATTTTGATAGATTTTGATGATGCCACTATACTTTGCACCCGTACATTGTGACTAAAGTAAATTCAAATATTAGCATTAAAATGTGACAAAATAAATGTAAAATTTTTGGAGCTAATAAAATTACACTGGAAAGTCAAAATGCAATAAGGTAAAAATTCCTTTACCTTAAAAGGATATTTAAATCCTACCAGTATAATTCTATTAGTACACAAAAATTAACCGTCACATAATTATATACATTGAATGTATATGATTGAAGACAAACCTTGACCGGCATTTAATACCGGATCAAGTACTGAGGGCCAAGGCATGGGACGCACAAATAATGCAAGACAAAGTGATCAGCTGCAAATTAATGCTCCAGCACAACAGGACTAGAGTACTACTCGTACTCATCAGAAATTCAACGGAAGAGATCAAACTATCCTAACCAACGGATAAGATTGATCAGCCAAAAAGCCTATAAATAGAGGCTAAACCGAAGGTTTCAAACCAAGCTTGAGCATCCTAAGCAGAGAAATACTTTCATCAAAGCATATACGAAGCTATCTAGCAAAAAGAGAAAGTGCAAACTCAACTTTACTCTCTGCTTAGCCTCATGCTTCACTAAGCTCTTAGATTAGATCAACACTTTCACATTTTTAGAGCTTAGTTCATAGTTGGAGGTTAGAACTTTCTTGTAACATTTCACAAGTGGTTGTAAACACTTAGGAGAACAGTTGTTCGGATCCTAAAGTGTAGTTAGATAGATAGAGTACCTTTTGATCCCCACTGGATCAATTGAGAAAAGTCTAAGGACTGAGTAACTTTGAGTGGTGTTATACTCATTGTGAAAAACCTTCAATCTAGGCCTAAGTGTTGTAAAGGCTAGATTGGCACTAAGTGTATTGGGCTTAATACTTTAGTGGAAATCCATCTGAAATAGGGTGGGACTGGATGTAGGAGGATTACACCACCTCTGAACCAGGATACATCGTGTGTTGATTCTCCTTTACTCACCAAAGCACACACTCAACACTTCTCACTAAAGGGATCGTAGTTTGCCAGCAGCATCCTAAGCAGTCGTCTTAATTGACTCTACTGCTTATCCTACTGCTTAATAACTCACTTTTCCTTGAGACTTCTGTTTCCCACAAGCTTTAAATATCACTACTAAAAGGTGTAGTTGGTCAGTCCTCAAAGATACCTTTTTATAAGCAGCAGACGGCTTAGCAGTTTCCTGGGATTACCCAACTGCTCAGACCACTGCTCAGGCAAAACTCTTTACTATCTTCAGCTCAACATATATTCAGAAAACCCTCATCATTCTGTGCAAGGCCATATTATCATCTTTCTCAAACTCCTATTTTCAACTGGCAGTTGCCTCAGCAGTTCCCTGCCATCTAGCCAACTGCCAAGCCAACTGCTCACAGTTTAAAGCCCAAACATCATTCAAGGTAGAAAGTTGTCACACACTCATTATAAAAAGGGTAAAGACTTCCGCTGTGTATCTATTAATCTCTCAAAAGATTATAGATCAATTCATCTAGAGGCAAAAACTTGAAAAAGTTGAAAAAGATTTAAAAGTCTATTCACCCCCCCTCTAGACTTTTACCCTATCCAGGACCATCAAGTGGTATCAGAGCGGAGTGTTCCTAGAGTCAGTTTCTGACTAATTTGAACTAAAGATCCAAGCCACTCTACTTCCCAAACACCTTCTGAAATGGACAGTCAGTTAGCAAAGAACCTTCTGTTCAACTTGAACAAATTTGATGACTGGAAAATAAGGATGAAAGCACATCTCAGTGCTTTACATGATGAGATGCTTGAAGTAATTACTGATGGACCTATCAAAATAATGAAGGTCATCACATCCAGAACCACAGAAGGAACAGATGATGTGTACATTCCAAAACCCAAAATGGAATGGACAACTGAGGACAGGAAGAGAAACAATCTTGACAACATTGCCAAGGACATTCTCTTCAAATCTGTTGATGAATCTATATTTCCCAGAATCAGGAAATGCGAAACTGCCAAAGATGTCTGGGATGAGCTCACAAAGATTGGAGCAGGAGATGAACAGGAGAAGGACAATAAACTGACCATAGCCCTCAAGAAATTTGAGGATTTCAAAATGCTGTCAACTGAATCTATCCATGAGATGGAATCCAGATTCCTGAAGATTGTGGCAGAGGTCTCTGACCTTGGGAAAGAACTATCTCAAAAGGAGATTTCCCTCAAAGTCTTGAGAGGCCTGCCATCAAAATGGGACATGAAGGTAACTGCTATGAGAGATAGCAGAGATCT